CAAAACATCAAAGTTCATGCTCAATAATCCAGGTACAAAATCCAACAAAGCTAAGTCAGGTCATCTGGACAGTTTATTTTGTTGTTGTTGAACGTTTCGTCCTTCATCCAAAGGACTTCATCAGTCTGAGGAGCCACAAACAAGCTCAGACTCAAAAATCTTTGATGTTCTGAACCACTTTGGCTATGGCTGCCTCAGAGGAGTCATTGGGGGAGAGGGTGGGCTCCAGAAACCACTTTATCACCATCAAACTGGTTGGTCCACTATGTGGGTTTGCTGCTTGTGAGACTGAGTTTGTTGTGGTTCCTCGGACTGATGAAGTCCGATGGATGAAGGACGAAACGTTTCAACACAAAGAAACCGTCCAGATGATCTGACTTAGCTTTGTTGGATTTTTAACCTGGATTAACGAGCATGAACTTTGATATTAATGCTAACGTTTAAAGCAAAGATGTCGCCCAACGCGTGGCGCTCACAGTATGTGTTGGGAACAATGCTCAGCTACTACCACACCAAATTTAACTCAATACCTCTAAAACTGGTTGAATTATAGCCAGTTTTGTGTTTTCTAATGTCACTTGACTCAAACTATTAATCAATTATAAATGCACATACAGTGCACATGTACATGTTCATGAGATATTTTGCTAACGCTAGAGACAAATAAACACACAGGCAAAAAAGTAACATTATCACCTCCCACCTTCAGCAGCAGGAAATATATCTACTGTCTATAAATAATAATAAAAGACACATTTTTTTCACGACCACAGTAAAAGCTTGTCTACAAGAATCAAAAAGACGAATGCTTCAAAAATCTTTTTTGCTGCTTTTTAAAGTATTGTAAATCAAAGCACCATATGTTTGTTTGGTTTCACATTCAAGAGGCAAACACATTTTCTTTTATTATTCCCTGAACTTTTTGTCCCCTAACATCCCCGTCTCCTTGATCAAAACGATTAAGTCCTCACTTTAAGCCCTCGGTTCCACGGTTCTGCTCACGTCTGAGTCCGTTCCGTGGGACGTGATGGAGCAGTTTTTGGATCCCTCTGAAGATGACTGCTTCAGGCGCTTGCTGTTCATTAATAATCTTAATGCACTTGTTGTGCTCCCGCTGCAGCTGCCGAAATCTTTACAAACTGCCGCACCATTTTTCCATGAAGCTGATTAATGAGGCGTTTTATATTTTGATCGTCTGAAATGTTGGAGAGCATTACCGTTTCTACAGCTGGGGTTACCATGGCGACGCTGTGTTAAAAGTCGACCCAAACTCTTGACTGAAAAGTAAAGCAGAGCTAACCCAGGCACACTTAACAATGAAACTTTTGTTTGTTTGTTTTAAATAAAGTTCAAGCAATGATTCATTAATTTAAATAAGACACATTAGCCTCTGCAGAAAACTGAAGCTGGAGTTTTCTGTTTATTTCAGCTTGTATATAGTTTTAAAAGTTTAGTCCTCTTGTATGTAATGCCACTTTAATTGGTGTGCTGCTGATTATCCATGCTGCTTATTCATACCTGCTCACTACAGACTCATGTTCAGGCTGCTGTTTGATAAATATACCATATTATTTTACATAATTAGTGTTTTGCATTTATCTTAGACCCTTGTATACTGTTTCTTATTTTTAGACTTCATATGATTGCTATTTCTGAGTGTAACTGGGACCTTGAGAACATAATTTTGTTCTACCTCATGTACCACATGGGATGCGAATGACAATAAAGAACCTTGAACGTATGTTTCCCTCCCTGTTGTCTCTTCATTAAGGTGATTAAGACCACTAATCTGTCTCTGCAGTGTGTCTCTTGTCCCATACATGGACTCCTGCTCTGTCCTGGGCTGCAGATGTGTCAGACATCTTGTCTGGTTCTGCTGTATGGAGTCGAGCAGGAAGCCCAGCCTGAAAAGGGGTGGAGTGGGTGGAAACCTGCTTTTTGAGCTGCGACAGAAAGCTCTCCGAGCGGAGAGCAGTTAAAAGGCGGTGAAGTTGGTGTCTGAATATGAGATAAGTGACTTATTGAAAAGGCAGTGACTTGACATCAAGGCCTGGAACAATCAGCAGGATGAATTCAGAGTTTAACCCTAATAGTAAAGAGAAACGCGTTTATAGAAACAGTTTGGAGTGCGTTTCATTTCACATGTCAAAACTTCCCAGTTCCAAAATGGCAAAATATCAACTGGAATTCCACATTTCTGTTTGGAAACTTGAAACACAACCTTAACATCCAACATAACAGCTTGGTACATAAAAAAGTTAGGGCAAGTAGCTGCAATACTCAACTGTTTATTTACACTTCTGATTATTTATTTATTTATTTATTATTATTATTAAGATGGATGCAACAATTGTAGTCACAATAATATTTTTACACTGAGGAACATACTGGTGTTTGAATGGATAAATATAAAGAAATGTGCTGTTATTGGCAGTGAGCACAACTGTGGGATGGATGGATGGATGGATGGATGGATGGATGGATGGATGGATGGATGGATGGATGGATGGATGGGTGGATGATGGATGGATGGATGGATGGATG